TAGCTGCGCCAAGGCCCCTTTAATCTGCCATGGGCCCCCTATATACCGCCTCCGTCATGCGTGCTGCCTAAGTCCAGAGTCTTGTTCATGGCGTCCCACCCTGTACGGCCTCCCATTGCTGCTGTCTCCATTCGCCCCCATCACACTCTGCTGCCATGTGCCACTTTCAGGTCTCCTCACACACTGCTGGTGGTGTTGAATTTTTTGACATAGGGGTGCTGTTCAGAATTAAAAAAGGGCCTCCCATAGCTGCTGCCAGGTCCCCTAATTGCCATGGGGCCCTATATTATTACCGCCTCCTCATGCTGCTGCCAGGTCCAGAGTCTCTGTCATGGGTCCCTGTACGGCCTCCCCAATGCTGCTGTCTCCATCGCCACACATGCCATGTGCCACTTTCAGGTTCCTCACACACTGCTGGTGTGTTGAATTTTTTGACATAGGGTGCTGGCAGATTACGGGCCTCCTATAGCTGCTGCCAGGCCCCTAATCTGCCATAGGCCCCTATATATGACCGCCTCCTCATGCTGCTGCCAAGGTCCAGAGTCTGTCATGGGTCCCTGTACGGCCTCCCCATTGCTGCTGTCTCATCGCCACACTCTGCCATGTGCCACTTTCAGGTCTCCTACTCACACTGCTGGTGTGTTGAATTTTTTGACATAGGGTGCTGGCAGATTACGGGCCTCCCATTGCTGCTGCCAGGCCCCTAATCTGCCATGGGCCCCTATATACCGCCTCCTCATGCTGCTGCCAGGTCCAGAGGTCTTCATGGGTCCTGTAGGCCTTCCCATTGCTGCACTCCATCGCCACACTCTGCACATGTGCCACTTTCAGGTCTCCTCACACACTGCTGGTGTGTTCCAATTTTTTGACATAGGGTGCTGGCAGATTACGGGCCTCCCATAGCTGCTGCCAGGCCCCCTAATCTGCCATGGGCCCCTATATACCGCCTCCTCATGCTGCTGCCAGCCAGTTCGAGTCTCTCATGGGTCCCTGTACGTCCTGCCTCCCATTGCTGCTGTCTCCATCGCCACACTCTGCATGTGCCACTTTCAGGTCTCCACACACTGCTGGTGTGTTCACCGATTTTTTTCATAGGGTGCTGGCAGATTACGGGAGCCTCCCTAGCTGCTGCCAGGCCCCCTAATCTGCCATGGGCCCCTATATACCGCCTCCTCATTGCTGCTGCCAGGTCCAAGTCTTCATGGTCCCTGTAACGGTCCTACATTGCTGCTGTCTCCATCGCCAGACTCTGCCATGTGCCACTTTCAGGTCTCCTCACACACTGCTGGTGTGCTTGAATTTTTTTGACATAGGGTGCTGGCAGATTATCGGGCCTCCCCATAGCTGCTGCCAGGCCCCTAATTGCCATAGGCCCCTATATACCGCCTTCCTCATTGCTGCTGCCAGGTCCAGAGTCTGTCATGGGTCCCTGTACGGCCTCCCATTGTGCTGTCTCCATCGCCACACTCTGCCATGTGCCACTTTCAGGTCTCCTCACACACTGCTGGTGGTTTAATTTTTTGACATAGGGTGCTGGCAGATTAAGGGCCTCCCATAGCTGCTGCCAGGCCCTAATCTGCCATAGGCCCCTATACCGCCTCCTCATGCTGCTGCCAGGTCCAGAGTCTGTCATGGGTCCCTGTACGGCCTCCCTTGTGCTGTCTCATGCCACACTCTGCCATGTGCCACTTTCAGGTCTCCTCACACACTGCTGGTGTGTTCCCATTTTTTGACATAGGGTGCTGGCAGATTACGGGCCTCCCATAGCTGCTGCCAGGCCCTAATCTGCCATTGGGCCCCTATACCGCCTCCTCATGCTGCTGCCAGGTCCAGAGTCTCTCATGGGTCCCTGTACGGCCTCCCATTGCTGCTGTCTCCATCGCCACACTCTGCCATGTGCCACTTTCAGGTCTCCTCACACACTGCTGGTGTGTTCCATTTTTTGACATAGGGTGCTGGCAGATTAACGGGCCTCCCATTAGCTGCTGCCAGGCCCCTAATCTGCCATGGGCCCCTATACCGCCTCCTCATGCTGCTGCCAGGTCCAGAGTCCATGGGTCCCTGTCGGCCTCCCATGCTGCTGTGCCACACTCTGCCATGTGCCACTTTCAGGTCTCCTCACACTGCTGGTGTGTTGAATTTTTTGACATAGGGTGCTGGCAGATTACGGGCCTCCCATAGCTGCTGCCAGGCCCCTAATCTGCCATAGGGCCCCTATATACCGCCTCCTCATGCTGCTGCCAGGTCCAGAGTCTGTCATGGGTCCCTGTACGGCCTCCCATTGCTGCTGTCTCCATCGCCACACTCTGCCATGTGCCACTTTCAGGTCTCCTCACACACTGCTGGTGTGTTGAATTTTTTGACATAGGGTGCTGGCAGATTACGGGCCTCCCATAGCTGCTGCCAGGCCCCTAATCTGCCATAGGCCCCTATATACCGCCTCCTCATGCTGCTGCCAGGTCCAGAGTCTGTCATGGGTCCCTGTACGGCCTCCCATTGCTGCTGTCTCCATCGCCACACTCTGCCATGTGCCACTTTCAGGTCTCCTCACACACTGCTGGTGTGTTCCATTTTTTGACATAGGGTGCTGGCAGATTACGGGCCTCCCATAGCTGCTGCCAGGCCCCTAATCTGCCATGGGCCCCTATATACCGCCTCCTCATGCTGCTGCCAGGTCCAGAGTCTGTCATGGGTCCCTGTACGGCCTCCCATTGCTGCTGTCTCCATCGCCACACTCTGCCATGTGCCACTTTCAGGTCTCCTCACACACTGCTGGTGTGTTGTAATTTTTTGACATAGGGTGCTGGCAGATTACGGGCCTCCCATAGCTGCTGCCAGGCCCCTAATCTGCCATAGGCCCCTATATACCGCCTCCTCATGCTGCTGCCAGGTCCAGAGTCTGTCATGGGTCCCTGTACGGCCTCCCATTGCTGCTGTCTCCATCGCCACACTCTGCCATGTGCCACTTTCAGGTCTCCTCACACACTGCTGTGTGTTGAATTTTTTGACATAGGGTGCTGGCAGATTACGGGCCTCCCATAGCTGCTGCCAGGCCCCTAATCTGCCATAGGCCCCTATATACCGCCTCCTCATGCTGCTGCCAGGTCCAGAGTCTGTCATGGGTCCCTGTACGGCCTCCCATTGCTGCTGTCTCCATCGCCACACTCTGCCATGTGCCACTTTCAGGTCTCCTCACACACTGCTGGTGTGTTGAATTTTTTGACATAGGGTGCTGGCAGATTACGGGCCTCCCATAGCTGCTGCCAGGCCCCTAATCTGCCATGGGCCCCTATATACCGCTCCTCATGCTGCTGCCAGGTCCAGAGTCTCTCATGGGTCCCTGTACGGCCTCCCATTGCTGCTGTCTCCATCGCCACACTCTGCCATGTGCCACTTTCAGGTCTCCTCACACTGCTGGTGTGTTTAATTTTTTTGACATAGGGTGCTGGCAGATTATGGGCCTCCTATAGCTGCTGCCAGGCCCTAATCTGCCATAGGCCCCTATATACCGCCTCCTCATGCTGCTGCCAGGTCCAGAGTCTGTCATGGGTCCCTGTACGGCCTCCCATTGCTGCTGTCTCCATCGCCACACTCTGCCATGTGCCACTTTCAGGTCTCCTCACACTGCTGGTGTGTTAGAATTTTTTGACATAGGGTGCTGGCAGATTACGGGCCTCCCATAGCTGCTGCCAGGCCCCTAATCTGCCATGGGCCCCCGTACCGACTCCTCATGCTGTGACGTTGCAACAAGGTGGAATTCAACCCTACATATGTTAGACCGCCTTTACGAACAGCAAAAGGCCATCACAGATTTCCTGATGTTAAAAGCGGATAAAGGTACTCCCTGTGTAACTTAGATGTCAGCCATTGGCAGCTCATGCGTGACACCTGCGCTTGCTCAGGCCCTTTGAGGAGGCCACGCTATTCGTGAGTCGGCAGGACTATGGGATGAACGACGTCATTCCTCTGTTGCACGTCCTGGAACAAATGCTGTTAACAATGGCTGGTCAGGGTGCGGTAGACGTGGCGCACAGATCTCAACGCCACATGACCCCTGTGGGGGCAGGACAGGAAGAAGAGGAGGAGGTAGAGGAGGACATTGGTGCTCAGGAATTATTGAGTGAAATGGGTGGTTTTTCCACTCAGCGGACAGGAGTGGAGGAGCAGGAGCATCTGGTAGAGGAGGAGGAGGAGGAGAGGAGACAGAGGACCCAGACGCACCGTGGCAGTATGCTGTGGAGATGGAGGCAGGGAGTCCCTCGCATTCCTTGGCACAAATGGCCCATAGCATGCTCGGTTGCTTGCGTAGCGACAGCCGAATAATAACCATCAGACAGAGGGATGACTTTTGGCTGTCCACCTTGTTGGACCCTCGCTACCGTTCAAAAATGGTGGCCTTTTTCACACCTGCTGAGAGGGAGGCCAAATAACGTACTATAAAAAAACCACCTATGTAGTCAGTTGGTCTCTGCCTTTCTGCGCCAACGTCCATCCTCAGACACTGTGGGCCCTGTGCGCTCGCGTTCCGCTGCCATGGCAGCAGGGGAGGGGTGGGGTGGTAGGAGCAGTGGCAGCTCCACCAGCAGCGGCTGCCTCAGTCTGCAGTCGATGATGAGTAGCTTTCTTCACCAGCGCAGTGAGGAAACTACTAACCAGCCGCCAGCAGCAGCAGCAGCATCAGGTGGACCTGGAGCAGGACCTCAAACAACAGGCTTAGGCCTACTTGGACAGCACCCTGCCAACCGAGGTAGACAATCCCCTTGACTACTGGGCAACGAAACTTGACCTTGGCCCCAACTAGCTGAATTTGCCCTTGAAAGGCTGTCATGCCCGGCCAGTAGCGTGGCATCGGAGCGCGTGTTTAGTGCGGCAGGAGGTATTGCAACTCCGCGGAGGACACGACTGTCCACCCAAAGTGTGGAGAGACTCACGTTTGTGAAAATGAATCAGGCGTGGATTAGTCTGGATTTCAAACCACCAGTTCCTGACACAACTGACTAAATCCGCCATGAATCATGCCCCAAACATGTGCCACTTTCAGGTCTCCTCACACTGCTGGTGTGTTCCATTTTTTGTCATAGGGTGCTGGCAGATTACGGGCCTCCCATAGCTGCTGCCAGGCCCCTAATCTGTGTACGGCCTCCATTTGCTGCTGTCTCCATCGCCACACTCTGCCATGTGCCACTTTCAAGGTCTCCTCACACTGCTGGTGGGTTCCATTTTTTTTGTCATAGGGTGCTGGCAGATTACGGGCCTCCATAGCTGCTGCCAGGCCCCTAATCTGCCATGGGCCCCCGTACCGACTCCTCATGCTGCTGCCAGGCCCGTAATCTGTCATGGGCCCCTGTTGTCGCTTGTTTGGCATATTCCGCTCGTTCAGATGCTCCTTCTCCTGCTACTCCTCTCTTCACGGATTCCGTCAGCAGTCTTTCTTGGAATCCGTTTCCAAGAGACAACTGTTTGCGAGCACGCACCAGACGGTGCAGAAACTGAACGTCCTCCTGTCCAAGTTGCTGCTGCCAGGCTTGTAATCTGTCATGCGCCCCTGTACCGCCTCCTCATGCTGCTGCCAGGTCCAGAGTGTGTCATGGGCCCCCGTACCGACTCCAATGCTGCTGCCAGGCCCGTAATCTGTCATGGGCCCCTGTACCGCCTCCCCATGCTGCTGCCAGGTCCAGATTGTGTCATGGGTCCCTGTACGGCCTCCCATTGCTGCTGCCAGGCCTGTAATCTGCCATGGGCCCCCCTACCGACTCCTCATGCTGCTGCCAGGCCCGTAATCTGCCATGGGCCCCTGTACCGCCTCCTCATGCTGCTGCCAGGTCCAGAGTGTGTCATGGGTCCCTGTACGGCCTCCCATTGCTGCTGTCTCCATCGCCACACTCTGCCATGTGCCACTTTCAGGTCTCCTCACACTGCTGGTGGTTTCCATTTTTGTCATAGGGTGCTGCATGGCCTCCCATTGCTGCTGCCTCCACCGCCACACTGTGGCTCCACACTCTGGTTTTGGCCCCCGTGACTGGCCAAATGAGTGAAGTGTGCGGTGATTCTAAGATCGACGGCACTCATCTGCATGTCATACTGCCTGACAGTATTATTTCTCTTCCCCAGCAGACTCCAAGGGCATTTAAATTAAAGGTACAGTGTTCAGCACTAATATTAAGTCTCTCTGAAGCCTAGAAACACCCTTTTTTTAAGTTAAATTCACAGCGAATATATTCGAACTCGAATCGAATTTTTTCTACGAATTCGCCGAATCAGTCGAATCGAATTTTTGAATACTTCGCTCATCTCTAGCCGCAATCATTGGGGTGAGGTATGTGCCACTTAAATATCCAAATTTAAGCTACATCTTTGTGGTTAGAAAGGTCTGTGATCCTCATTGCTTTGCCATTTTTTGCCCTGTTTTGTAAAATAGATATTCCTAAAATGGCCACCACACTATGTCATAATCACGCGATGTGTCGTGACATCACTACGCAGATTCATGCATAATGATGTCACCACAGGCAGCGCAGTACGCGGGAATCTCTGTGTTTTGGGCGCCAGTTGTGAGTATAAAGCCAGTCCAGCCATGTTACATCCACTGGCTGCTCTGGCAAAATGATTGAAATGGGTTAACAACATATCTGCCCTGTAGAGAAGGACCACATAAAGCCAAATTGTTTGTCTATAACCTCTGGGATCTACAACTGGTTTCTTTCAATTTTGAAAGGAGTATATATACATATTTTTTCATGTTGTTTGTTAGGATTTTATTTATATCTCCATGTGAACCAAATATATATTTATTCTAAGTAATGTTTTGACTCCCAATACTATATATGGATTAACAATGAGTGGGGTATAATTAGATGGAAGTCAATATGGGGAGGAGGGGTGTAGTTTGTACATTAAACAATTAATTTTTTTGATATACATGATTTGTACAGACATTTCCTTGTTTTTATTTATTTTTTGTTTAATTTTTTATTTACATTTTTGGATCCCTTGGATTGATATAGATAAAACAAGACTGAATATATATATGGAGACCTTTATGTTTATGTGGTTTTCTATACGCTATACCTATATTTCTATTTTTAAAACTTTACATCATATAATGTTTGGTTGGCACTCTTACCAGATAGTGGTTGCTGGTCCAGACTGCATATGGTTATACATTTATGACAGATAACATCTCAATATTATCACCCTGATATATGTATGACCATGTGAACATATTTATCCATCTATGGATGTATGTGGTGAATATTGAGACTGTATTTTCTTCGATATTGTACTTTGCTTACCATTTGTAGAACTTTGTATTAGTTACATAGTTAGTCTGGCTGAAAAAAGACAAAAAGTCCATCCAGTTTAAACCATTAAAAAAAAAAAAAAGTTATAATCCTATACCCACAGTTGATCCAGAGGAAGGCAAAAAAACCAGCAAAGCATGATCTAATTTGCTCCTGCTGGGAAAAAAATTCCTTCCTGATCCCCCGGGAGGCAATCGGATATTCCCTGGATCAACTTTACCTATAAATGTTAGTATCCAGTTATATTCTGTGTATCTAAGAAAGAATCCAGGCATTTTTTTAAGCAATCCACTGAGCTGGCCAGAACCAACTCTTGAGGGATTCTATTCCACATTTTCACAGCTCTCACTGTGAAGAAACCTTTCCGTGTTTGGAGATTACATTTCTTTTCCTCCAGACGTAAAGAGTGCCCCCTTGTCCTCTGTGATGACCTCAGGGTGAATAGCTCTACACCGAGTTCACTATAAAAACCACTGAAGTATTTATACATGTTGATCATATCCCTCTTAATCTCCTCTTCTCAAGAGAGAATAAATTCAGTTCCTCTAATCCAGTGGTTCTTAACCTTGTTGGAGGTACTGAACCCCACCAGTTTCATATGCGCATTCACCGAACCCTTCTTAATTGGAAAAATAAAATATGATTTTTAAAATTCAAAACATAGGTATATAATAATTTTATACATAGGTGCACAAAATGAACAAAACCGTTAAGAACAAAGAACCAAAACCATTAAAACATGGATTTTCACACAAAAACAAAAACATAATAATGAATATTTACTGCACGAATCATATGAGTCGGGTGTGGGTCTTCACCTCTGCCGAACCCGCGAGACTGACTCACTGAACCCCTGGGGTTCGATCGAACCCCAGGTTAAGAACCACTGTTTTATAGTAATTCATCCCCCATAAGTAATTCATCCCCCATATAGTAATTCGTCCCCCATAGTAATTCATCCCCCCCTATAGTAATTCATCCCCCATAGTAATTCATCCCCCATATAGTAATTCATCCCCCATATAGTAATTCATCCCCCATAGTAATTCATCCCCCATAGTAATTCATCCCTCATAGTAATTCATCCCCCATATAGTAATTCATCCCCCATATAGTAATTCATCCCCATATAGTAATTCATCCCCCCATATAGTAATTCAATTCCCCCATAGTAATTCATCCCCCATAGTAATTCATCCCCCATATAGTAATTCATCCCTCATAGTAATACATCCCCCATATAGTAATTTCATCCCCCATATAGTAATTCATCCCCATAGTAATTCATCCGCCATATAGTAATTCATCCCCATATTAATTCATCCTTATTTAGTAGTAGTAAGATAGCAAGTAGTAAGCCAAGTCCCCCTGTGTCAATTCAACTTACCTTTGCTCCGCGCGTTCCTCTCGCCGTATTCCCGCGCCGTTTCCGGTCTTCAGGGCGGACTGTGAGAGGAGCCTAGCTCCTCTCACGTTCATCACGCTGCCCCGCCTACACACATCCTGACAGCCAATCACTGGCTATCAGGATGTGAGTGGCAGCGAGACTGGCCAATCATTGCATTTGAGCGCGCTGCCCTGGCTGTTTTTTTTTTTTGGATCACGCTGCAGAGTCCCTGCCGCCCGAGAGGAGGGAGGGGAGCGGGCGCCCGGCACACAAAGAGCCGCATTAAAGCGTGTAAAGAGCCGCGGCTTGCCGACCACTGGGCTAAGCGATGTTGCGTGACCACCTGCAGCCAATGATGGACAAGCGGGGCATGTCATCACGAATTTCATATGAGTCGGGTGTGGGTCTTCACCTCCGCCGAACCGCGAGACTGACTCACCGAACCCCTGGGGTTCGATCGAACCCAGGTTAAGAACCACTGCTCTAATCTTTCCTCATAGCTAATCTCCTCCATGCCTTGTATCAATTTGGTTTCCCTTCTCTGTACTTTCTCCAGTTCCCCAATGTTCTTTTTATGAATTGGTGCCCAAAACTGAACTGCATATTCCAGATGAGGTGTTACTAATGATTTGTACAGGGGTAATATGATATCTGTCTCTCTGGAGTCTATACCTGTGATGACTTTTGGACTATTTATTAAGGGAAATTATATTATTCCAAAAAAAAAAGGAAATTTTAAAAGCTGACTGGCATGGGTTAAATATTTGATCAACTGCAAGTGACCTTCCAGGAAGCTACCATAAAACAATGAGTGGAAGAGACCCGTTTAAAATACAATAAGATTAAACACCACTATTTGAATTTTTGCAGATGCTCAAATAAAGTACCATTATTTGACAATGGTAGGACTAAAACCTTATTTACTCTTTATTACAAGACCTTGCAGGTGTGTTTTTTTATCTAAACAAGCACCATTGTCTATGGAAAGCCAGGAGATACCTCCTTTGCAGGTCTTAATGAAATTCAATTATAGTGAGTCAAACATCTCACTAAACTCCAACTGGATGTGCACTCTAATTACCACACAATAGTGCCAGTAACTAGACGCTTCCTATGTCACCTCTCCTTGAACTTTGCTCTCAGCTCACAAGGGAAAACTTGGCTCATTTAAGATACAAAGAAAAGTGTGGCATATATCAACTGAAATATTATCAAAGGTATATACCCACACACCAAGATCTATTCAACAAAGTTGGTTACTGCATACCACTCAACTATAGATCATGAAGTTATAAAATATAAGATGGTTTGTGAGTTGGATAAAATACATATCTCCAAATAAGTTACAAGAACACCTGCGTCTATATCATGACAGAGAGAGAGATGGTATAAATCACCTGATGAACGGGAACTAAGCACACGAGATAATACCAGAACAAATTATGCCATCGTTATACAGAGATCCACCATTTCATGACAAAAATCAGCAATCCCAATACAGCTCATATCAGAAAAATGAGACACCAAATGTATTCACATATTTCTATGGTCCTTATTCAAGAGTTAGTGGGGAAATCATTTATACCTGAATAGGACCCATATATTTTATCCATAAAGACATACTGTTTATATATCAAAGGGTGAGTCATCATTAAGAGCACCAGTTCATTTGTGATACCTAAAAGCTAAAAATTCTTCCTGCGCCAAGTGAAAAACACTACTACAGGATCTATCCTGCTGCTGTGCAATGTGATGAACACAAAATGTGATAAATATAAATAAACAGCGCAAACATAGACCTCTGTATCAAATCAACATATAAAGTGCAAACATATATGGAAAATTATATTAATAGTGAAAGTCCATCATGATAATAGACAACAAAAGTTCATAAATCTCAAAAAATTTGTGCAAAAAGATCAAAAATTCTTCTAATGCAAAGAAAACTTCCACCTTCCACCCGTGCAAACCAACATCAAATGCACTCACCAGATTTAGGTGAATGAAACGCCTTTTAGGAATTTTTATGGGATCCTAAACCCTCTTTCATATCCACTCTATAGGAATCCTCACCTTCAGTATAGGCTCCACCATACAACCGGGGAGAGAAAATCTCAGATAGTGTGATATTGCAAAATACAGTTTTTAAATAAAATCAAGGATTAAGGCCACTCACATTTAAATCACTTTAAAAAGGCATATTTATTAGGACAAGCTTCTTCCAGATGGACAATGAATGTCAGACAACCTCCTCAGGAATCTCACATCACAGCTCCAGGATACAGCAGAAGCTCCACAGAGACCAAACATGCACAGATCCCAAAAGATGGCTGCTGGAACGCACTGCTCAGCGTGCGCTCCACTCACCGGAAGTGACGTCAGACGTACGGGGTAAAGACCGGAAATGCGTCAACGCGTTTCGCCCCTCCCATCTTGAGAACGCCGATTGGGTTTAGGATCCCATAAAAATTCCTAAAAGGCGTTTCATTCACCTAAATCTGGTGAGTGCATTTGATGTTGGTTTGCACGGGTGGAAGGTGGAAGTTTTCTTTGCATTAGAAGAATTTTTGATCTTTTTGCACAAATTTTTTGAGATTTATCAACGTTTGTTGTCTATTATCATGATGGACTTTCACTATTAATATAATTTTCCATATATGTTTGCACTTTATATGTTGATTTGATATAGAGGTCTATGTTTGCGCTGTTTATTTATATTTATCACATTTGTGATACCTGACTGTACCCGGTGAACAGGTAAGGAACTTCTTATGGTACACAAAGTTCTTAACCGTCCAATCAACAAGCCCATTGGGAGGTCCTTCGGAACACAGGACTAGTATGGTATAAAAATGCCACACACCTCAAATTGAAGGACTACTTCTGAAATCACTAAATGACTTCTTGATCACTTCTTACTAATTCTGAAACTGCTTCTTAACTACTCTAATACTTCTATATACTGTACTATACTCACTTGCTTCCTGCTACCTGCGGCCATCTTGCTGAGAGCTTCCAGCTGCCATTTTGTTTTTGAAGGCCATTTTGAAGGAAAAGATTTTCACCAGAGAAGCTGCTGCTGATTTAAATTCTGGTGCCTGACTGACCAGAAACACTTTCTTTTCCTAACTGCATCCCACTGGGAGGCCTCAAAAATCGAGATTCTGGGAGTGGTGAGACTGTGCCAAAATATTGTAATTTTCTTTTATATTTCAAACTTATTAAGATTTAAAACATTTTTATTGTGTGGTTAGAAGTGTACTAAGGTTATTTAAATAATTATTAATGTAACTGTTTGAGTATTAGTACTGAGATATTATACTGTATACTAACTGATTTGTAGTGTTCTTGTGGTGCTAATTATCAGAGATACTTTCTTATTTCCCTACGGCCGTGGGAAATTGGAAATAATATCTGAAGCACTGTAAGTTGCAACTAACCCCTCTAAAATTTGTTTTAAGTCATTTGATAACCATATATTGTATGATACCATAGAGATTAGCGTACTATATCTTTGATTGTGTGTACGAATATATTCATTACCAGTATTTTGCTCTTGTATTAATAATATATATAAAATATTTGTACATAAATAAATGTATTTATTTATTTATCAAAAAGGCAAATTTTTTGTATATGGTAACGAAATCACATTGGTGAAAAGAACTCAAGGAATATTATTAAGTGGTGATCAAATATTAAGGTGTCCAAACTATTGGTTTATTAAATATTTGCCATATTTTAATGGGTGGAGGCACTGCAATATTTTGTTTAAGGGAATTGATACCGCCCTGTTTATTTAGAATAAATTTTATCATAAACCACCACATACCTCTTTTAGTACAAGAGAGGATTTTGCTCACTTTAGAAGCCACAGCTTGGCATTGCATGCCATTATTAAGCTTGTGATCTACCAGAACTCATAGATCCTTCTCCACCATTGATTCCAGACCCTTGAACAATATTTGCGATGTTTCTCTTCTTACTCACAGGATGACTGGGTGTCTCTCCTTCCATTGGCAGAATTTGCATATAACAATTCCATCCACTCTGCTACCAAACAGTCCCCTTTTTATGTCAACTATGGATACTAGAGATGAGCGAATTATTCAAAAATTCGATTCGGCGAATTCGCGGAATAAATTCGATTCGAGTCGAATATATTCGCTGCGAATTTAACTTATAAAAAGGGGTGTTTCTAGGCTTCAGAGAGCCTTTATATTAGTGCAGAACACTGTACCTTTAATTTAAATGCCCTTGGAGTCTGCTGGGGAAGAGAAATAATACTGTCAGTCAGTATGACATGCAGATGAGTGTCGTCGATCTTACAATCACCGCACACTTCACTCATTTGGGCAGTCACGGGGCCAAAACCAGAGTGTGGAGCCACAGGGTGGCGGTGGAGGCAGCAGCAATGGGAGGCCATACAGCACCCTATGACAAAATGGAACCCACCAGCAGTGTGAGGAGACCTGAAAGTGGCACATGGCAGAGTGTGGCGATGGAGACAGCAGCAATGGGAGGCCGTACAGGGACCCATGACACACTCTGGACCTGGCAGCAGCATGAGGAGGCGGTACAGGGGCCCATGACAGATTACGGGCCTGGCAGCAGCATGAGGAGTCGGTACGGGGGCCCATGGCAGATTACGGGCCTGGCAGCAGCAATGGGAGGCCCGTAATCTGCCAGCACCCTATGACAAAATGGAACCCACCAGCAGTGTGAGGAGACCTGAAAGTGGCACATGGCAGAGTGTGGCGATGGAGACAGCAGCAATGGGAGGCCGTACAGGGACCCATGACACACTCTGGACCTGGCAGCAGCAAGAGGAGGCGGTACAGGGGCCCATGGCAGATTACGGGCCTGGCAGCAGCAATGGGAGGCCGTACAGGGACCCATGACACACTCTGGACCTGGCAGCAGCATGAGGAGGCGGTACAGGGGCCCATGACAGATTACGGGCCTGGCAGCAGCATGAGGAGTCGGTACGGGGGCCCATGGCAGATTACGGGCCTGGCAGCAGCAATGGGAGGCCGTACAGGGACCCATGACACACTCTGGACCTGGCAGCAGCATGAGGAGGCGGTACAGGGGCCCATGACAGATTACGGGCCAGGCAGCAGCAATGGGAGGCCCGTAATCTGCCAGCACCCTATGACAAAATGGAACCCACCAGCAGTGTGAGGAGACCTGAAAGTGGCACATGGCAGAGTGTGGCGATGGAGACAGCAGCAATGGGAGGCCGTACAGGGACCCATGACACACTCTGGACCTGGCAGCAGCATGAGGAGGCGGTACAGGGGCCCATGACAGATTACGGGCCTGGCAGCAGCAATGGGAGGCCCGTAATCTGCCAGCACCCTATGACAAAATGGAACCCACCAGCAGTGTGAGGAGACCTGAAAGTGGCACATGGCAGAGTGTGGCGATGGAGACAGCAGCAATGGGAGGCCGTACAGGGACCCATGACACACTCTGGACCTGGCAGCAGCATGAGGAGTCGGTACGGGGGCCCATGGCAGATTACGGGTCTGGCAGATGACGACGAGGCTGCCAAGTGCGATCAGCCTCATCATCATCAATTAGGGTCTCCGCCTCACTACTAGCCCCCTCGGCTGCGTGTGGGTCAGGAGACAGACCTGTCTCTAGACCGGCTACCGAGCCACTCTCCTCGCCAGTACATCTTCGCCTGGCTGCTGCTGAAGAGGCGGATGTCTCCCCCCGTTCCTGACCGCCCTCTGTTAGCTCTTCCTCACTGTACAGTGGGGCTGAGCCCACAGCATGCGATACTTCGCTTGGTGAGGGAACACCAAAGGACAGGGGCAGGTAGAGGACACGTGATTTCAGTGGGCTTGCTCCCGGGCCATGCCAACTAACGGTTGTGTCTGACATACCCACCGACCGTTGGCTGTAGGTGTCAGAGGTGACCTGGGAAGAGTAAGACGACCGAGCCAACCAATCGATGACGGCAGGGTTGTCAGTGGAGACACGACCGCTGGATGACACTGGGAGCACTGGCCTCTGGCAGCCACTAGTGCTGCCTCGACCCCTTCCTCTGCTGCCACGTCTGCTCGCTCCTGAAACATTGCCTCCTCTGCCACTCCTCTGCGTGTTGTCTGACATACTCTTTAATTCAACGATTCTGTGTATCTGAGTAACGATTCTGTGTCCCTGAGTAACAATTCTGTGTCCCTGAGTAACGATTCTGTGTCCCTGAGTAACGATTCTGTGTCCCTGAGTAACAATTCTGTGTCCCTGAGTAACAATTCTGTGTCTGTCCCTGAGTAACAATTCTGTGTCCCTGAGTAACAATTCTGTGTCCCTGAGTAACAATTCTGTGTCCCTCAGTAACGATTCTGTGTCCCTCAGTAACGATTCTGTGTCCCTGAGTAACAATTCTGTGTCCCTGAGTAACAATTCTGTGTCTGTCCCTGAGTAACAATTCTGTGTCTGTCCCTGAGTAACAATTCTGTGTCCCTGAGTAACGATTCTGTGTCCCTCAGTAACGATTCTGTGTCTCTCAGTAACGATTCTGTGTCTGTTCCTGAGTAACAATTCTGTGTCCCTGAGTAACAATTCTGTGTCCCTGAGTAACAATTCTGTGTCCCTGAGTAACGATTCTGTGTCCCTGAGTAACGATTCTGTGTCCCTAAGTAACGATTCTGTGGCCCTAAAGTCTCTCTGGCCGTAACTCTGTCCCTAATACAGACAGGTCTGTCTCTCTTGAATGACCGGAGGCTAATGGAGAATTGTAAGATGGCCGCAATTTATAGCTCCACCATTACACAGTGCTGGCTGGCTGGCTGCTGATTGGCTAATGCGATCACATGTCATGAATGAATGCATTTTGGGTCAGCGCGCCTTGTCTGCGCGCCTTCCCAGAGATCCCTGCTCCGTCGCCACACATGTCGCCGCCATTTTTGGGAAAATTCGATTCGTGCATCCGAAGTTTGCTAATTTTCGGATTCGGCGCGAATCGAATTTTTCCTGATATTCGAAACTAATTCCACTTCGCCATGTTCGATTCGCTCATCTGTAATGGATACCATCCTTTCTTCCTGCCTGAAATGCCAGGGGAACCCGCTGTCCCAGCAGTACAAGAAAGGTTGGATTTCCTCAATAGGAATGGTCAAATGTTACGAGAAACTGTTTTGGAGGCTCAGGCAAATAACAAGAGATTTTTGACAGAAAAAGAAGGGGGAATCTGAATCTGAAACCAGGAGATAAGGTTTGGCTATCCACAACAAACTTGAAATTGAGCTGCCCTTCAAAGAAGCTTGGTCCAAGGTACCTGGGACCATTTACAATCAAAAGAAAGATTAATCCTGTAGCTTTTGACTTAATGTTACCAAAGAATATGAAGATCCATCCGGTATTCCAATGCTCTTTATTAAAACCAACAGTCCCAAGTCTATTTCCGGATCGAGGTCCAGAATCTACTGCTCCACTGCTTGTCGAAGGTAATGAGGAATATGAAGTAGAAGCCATCCTGGACTGTAGAAAGAGGGGTGGTCAGACCCAGTTACTCATCAAATGGAAAGGCTACGGTCCAGAGGATAATTCCTGGGAACCATCCGCTCCACGGTTAGTGCAAGCTTACCTTCATCTTCATCCTGAAAAACAAGCTTTAGTAGGCATCCAAAGGCAGCCCCTAAGGGGGGGGGGGGGCAATGTAAGGGAATTCCCGTGAGACGGCTGGTGAATAGATATGCGCATGAGCACAGAAATGCATGATCGTACACACACAAGTGCGAAGATTGGCACCAGATGGACTATTTAAAAGGTTCCTCTGCCTGTGCTCAGTGCTGACTGGTCTTCAGCTGTTCCCCATTTCCTGCTCATTCCTGTGTGATTTCCTTTTTGCTGACCTGGCTTGTTCCTGACCTGACCCGGATTACTCACCTGCTTAATACTTGTTCCTGACTTCGGCTCTGCTCCTGACTTTAGCTTGCTTATGATTTGGTACCTCACTGTCCGCCCGTTGATGACCCCGGCTATTACTATGACATTGCTCCTGTCTCCCATCCCAGCTTTCTGTCTTAGTCTGGTGCACACCTGGTGACCTACCATACCAGCTCTGCATATCACTACTGTTCATCAGTCTTTCAAAGTCTCCAGCTGCAAGAGCTGCAAACAACATCTGCTGGCGCTCTTATCCCCCTGGTCCCTAGACACCCTCTGTTCCACTTCTGGTGGGGTCAGGGCTAGTGATACAAGTGAGACCAACCTCGTCATTTCAGTCTCCAATCAGGTACGTGACAGATGGCAAAAGAAAAAGTTAGCATATCAGCAGCTAGCAGAAGACACTACTAACTATTGAGTGAGAGATAAAACTGCAGATTCTTAATCCCTTCATTTCTCAAACTTTTGTCCATGACAAGGAGAGGTACAGATATCACTTTTTCTGAGATTTTCTGTAAATATATTGACACAGGTACCAATTTATTTTTGGTTTTCAACTGGGAGGATGTCTGCTGGTCAGATGTCTGGGAGAACTTAAGGGATCACCCCACTTTCATGGAAAAAGATAGAAAATAAAAAATATAAAGACATATACCTACAACTGCTGCACAAGTCATGTTGTATTTGAATGGCATTAAAGATTACTTTTCCTTTTCAATGTACTGCGCTATAATTTCCTGTACATTGCAATGCAAAATGGCAACCTGGAGGCTTTTTGTACACAGATGATGTATGAACACTTCCCATAAAATTTTATTTCCTACAGGTGAAACTAAAAAAATTTGAATATCGTGCAAAGTTCATTTATTTCAGTAATGCAACTTAAAAGGTGAAACTAATATATGAGATAGACTCATTACATGCAAAGCAAGATAGTTCAAGCTGTGATTTGTCATAATTGTGATGATTATGGCTTACAGCTCATGAAAACCCCAAATCCACAATCTCAGAAAATTAGAATATTACATGCAATCAATAAAACAAGGATTGTACATAGAACAATATCAGACCTCTAAAAATTATAAGCATGCATATGTACTCAGTACTTGGTTTGGGCCCCTTTTGCAGCAATTACTGCCTCAATGCGGCGTGGCATGGAAGCTATCAGCCTGTGGCACTGCTGAGGCGTTATGAAAGACCAGGATGCTTCAATAGTGGCCTTCAGCTCTTCTGCATTATTTGGTCTCATGTCTCTCATCTTTCTCTTGGCAATGCCCCATAGATTCTCTTTGGGGTTCAGGTCAGGCGAGTTTGCTGGCCAATCAAGCATAGTAATCCCACGGTCATTGAACCAGGTTTTGGTGCTTTTGGCAGTGTGGGCAGGTGCCAAGTCCTGCTGGAAAATGAAGTCAGCATCCCCATAAAGCACGTCTGTGGAAGGAAGCATGAAGTGCTCCAAAATTTCCTGGCAGACGGTGTCAGGGATCTCCTCGATCCCTGCCGCGATGGTCCCGGCGCAGGCGCAGTGCACCACCCTGTGCAGGGACACGGGCACTAGGTCCGGGCCGGCCGCGGCGTTCGAGTTCACGCATGCGCAGTAGAAGCCGCGGCCGCCCACTGGGCACCAATGGCAGCGCAGGGCGGGATATTTAAATGGCCCTGAGCTGTCATTCAGTGCCTTCTGGTCTTCCCTGCATCCTGTGAACCTGTGAACCTGTACCTTTGTAAGTTTTGACCCGGATTGTACCTGACCTTGCTGCTTTCTCCTATTCTGACCCTTGCTTTGCCTGACCTCTCTCTTGAATGCCCCTGATTGGATTTGACCTGCTGTTGCTGACCTGGCTTGTGACCCGACCATTCTATGCCCGCTGCCTTGTACCTTGCCGTCCTCTCTGTTACCGACCCGGCCCGTCTGACCTTGCTCATCCATCCATCCCTCCCTTGCAGTGGGGTCTTCTGACCTCCTCACATCAGACTCTTCCCCGTGGGAGCCCTTGGCGCATACCACTACCACTGACGGACGCACCCAGTAGCCACGACCTGGTCT